GTCCCAACCTTAAGGCAAATATAAGTGAGGTATGCAATGGCAGGAAAGGCTATAAAAATCCGGGCAAAAGGGGTAAGTCAGTAATTCTGGTGTCGCTGGGCAAAGGCTGTTATAGAATGTAGCCGAAGGTCGTGTGAGCGCCGAAGTTGTATAGGGAAAGGGGAGTTAGAATACCGCCAGTTGGACCGCATTAACGACTGGTCAACAAGGCATCACATTTTTTAACGGCAGACATTACCCATGCAGTTTACGGGATCGAAAAGTGGATCGTGGTAACCAAGTAAACCTATACGTGAAAGGGAATTTGGAAAATAAATAAGCATTTCAGTCTGATACGGTCGAGGAAGGATATACTGTGCTGTTTACTGGCTTAACTAATCTGACGAGCCTTCTCCCTGGAGTTTTAGCGGTTAAAGCAACCAGCCGACTTTATACAGACAGCAGCGGATTACACATGAATAAATAAACGACTTTGTTTTCATATTTGAAACGCCCATAGCACATGACAGTGGTTTGCAATTTGTGAGGCGCAGAGTTCAGTCGGCTGCGTGTGACGTACAGACAGGGAATCGAGACAGAAACCAGACTTCCTGTATCCAGCCAGACAAATTATGTCTAAACGGCTGTCGTGTGTTGCAATTAGGCATGTGCAGCGGAATGTACAGAACCAACGCGGAGCATCTAACTATGAAGATTCGGGGTTTGTACGGAAGAGGCCAAATCACTAGCGATCAGAAATAGTAATGTTGAGTTTGTTGGCAAAACGAAAAAATACTGGACCAGCACATATGAGAATAAATAACAAGATCTATTTTCTGGTAGGGTTTGAAGGGATTCAAGCAGCCACGTGAACTCTACTTATATATATGCGATCTTACCTTGGAATCGCACTCTAACTAAAGATACAGCACTTTTGTTCAGGACTACCAACATGAAGTCGTACCCGGGTTAAATGATTTCTAAAGCGTAGAAAGCAAATGTAGGCTACAGCTGTGAATGCCTACAATAATTTGCTGATAAAATTTCAAAGACTCAAGTTAGCAGGTAGTGCACTGACAAGACACTCCGGTCTTGGTTCGAGACCGAGATGGCGAGAACCTCTACTATTACAGCAGGCAGACTTGAAGCAGAGGACACGTACAGCGATAAGA